CATTTAGGGGTACAGTAAGAACCACTCGCTATAGATTTGAAATTGTAGTTGGTGCTAGGTTTGCATTTTACAGTATTTACTTCTTTTTCATCTTCACTGTTTTAGGATCAAAAGGCTTTGCTTGAAGAAGGATTTAAGAAGAAATCTGAGGAAATGAGTGGAGAAATAGAGCTATTGAAATCTAACCTCAAGGATATGAAGGAAAACAGTGGTTCCATTTTAGAGAATATTCTAAAAGAATTTGCTAAAGCAATCTGTGGTCCTTTTTTCTTGATCATGGACATTATAAATGACCTTACTTCATCATTTAAATAGAATTTATTTAAATCTTCTTTAAAAAAGTCTTCTTTGGATGAAATGATGACCCATGAATATATACTTTGTCTTTTTTTGACACTTCATGTTTTCATTTTCATTCAGCCAACTAAACAGAAGAGTGTTGATTAGAGGACATCCATGCCTCACCTGAAGTACATAGAACATATGTACACATGTTTGCTTTTAGGGGACAAATTTTGAAACCATTCATATGAAAGTGATGTGATTAGCCATTGTACACTCTGACAGTTACTGTTGACCAACTTAACTGGGTATAGAATCACCTAGGACACAAGCTCATCTGCACCCTCAAGACCATCTCATCTAGGTTAGCTTGTGGGGGCATCATCTCAGGTTACTATAGTAGGAAACCCACTCCATGGGTGGGTAGCACCATCTCTCTGGACTTGGGACCTAGTTACAAAGTAGAAGAAACCTGGACACTAATGTCCATCACTTGTGACATACCGATGGAATGCCATGTGATCAACCAGCCTCCATGCTAGCCTCCTTCTCTACCATGCTAAATACATCGTTTGCAGCCATGAGCCAGAATAAACTCTTTTTTTTTAAACTTGCATTTGTTGGGGTATTTTGTCATTGATAGTTGGTATAGGAGATTCTTCTGTCTATGTGTTGCTTTTATTGGTGTAATAAAGAAACTGCCTTGGCCTTTTGATAGGGCTGAACTTAGGTGGAGTAGACTGAACTGAATGCTGGGAAGAAAGGCAGTGTGGCAGATGCCATGAAGCTCCTGCCTGAGACTGACTGTGGTTAGAATCTTTCCTGGTAAGTCACCACCTCGTGGTGACAGACAGATTGGTGGAAATGGGTTAAATCAGGATGTGAAAGTTAGCCAACAAGAGGCTAGATATAATGGGCCAGGCAGTAATTTAATTAATATTATTTCTGTGTGGTTATTTCAGGTGTTAAACTAGCCGGGCGGCCAGGATGCAGCCCACTCCTTTTACAACAGATAGTGTTGTAATGGTGATAAATTTGGAAACTACTTAAATATCATTGAATAAGATTGGTAACAAATTTTAATATCTTGATCCTGGATTACTATATAGCCAAGAAACAAATGTCAGTCAAGCTTCCTGTATACTAACATAAATTCAGCTTAAAGATTCCTTATAAAATAAAGTGGAAACTCCATGTTATAGTGTGATTGGTGTTACAGATGCTCCTATCCCATGCAAATGCACAGGAGCACAGATCAACTGCCTCTGGAGGATTAATGAGATACCCGATCCTTTGGTTTCATCTCGGGAGAACAAATTGGAATCAAAAGTTGAAGGGACACATGTATGTCTTTATGTCCCAGTCTTTTAGGTTTTATTAAGGATGCTGGGAAAACAGTATGTTTGCATATTAAATGAGTGATAATGGAAAATGCACTATTGCTTGATGGCATTTCGGTTTCTAGAAACAGCAGAAGCTTTCAGAAGACAGCTAAGATGAGGACTTGAGTGCCAGGAAGCAACATGTTGGCCTCTTAATGATGTTTTTCCTTTGAGACTTTTAATAAAAATAATTTATATAACACATCTTATCTAACCCAATATATCAAAATATTATTTCCACAGGCAGTCAATATAATATATGCATGCCATCTTTTAACATTATATTTATTTGGTTGCAAAGTAAGAGGGAAACTGTATTCAAAGAGAAATGATAGTACAGAGTGTAAGAGAATCCATGGGTAAGTGTGAGGTGGACAGCTCAGACATATCTCAGTGGTCAAGAATGCACTGACCGCTCTTCCAGAGAAGCTCAGTTCACAGCATCCACATGGGGCAGCTCGCAAATCCCTGTGACTCCAGCACCAGGGGATCTGACTTCCTTTGCTGGCCCCCAAGGGTGCCAGCACTGCCATCACATATCCCTGTCTATTGAGAACCCTCTGCTTAGTTCCACAGCCTAGTTTTTATTGTGTCATTTCATTCTTGATGTTTTCCTTTTTTTTTTTTTTTTTGGATTTTGGTTATGATTTCCCTTGTCAAGGGTGTAGCTGGTGAGGGTTTTCTCCCACACATGTATCCAGAGAACTCTGTCTCCTATTACAGAGATACTTGCCCATCTGTGTTCATTGCTGCTCTAGTCATAATAGAGTAAATAACCTAGATGTTCAGTGTTAGATGGCGCTGGTGATGAATGTAATGGAAATGTGGCACTATAATAAATCCATGCAGGAAGATACAGACCACCACACTAATATAGACAATCACGCTTTTAAAGTCCTTTAGTTTTGCCCATGACTAACAGCATGCTCATGCCTCAAGCACCCTGGTGCAGAAGGTCAGAGGTACAGCATTTTCAGGGCAAAGCATATACTTTCACTGATACTGAATGAGAGGCAAAGTTACCTTGCATGATTTGTTTTGATAGAGCACAGTTATTTCAGACACAACAATACAATCACTTTTGACTTACACTTCTTTGGTTGTTTTAGTTTATGTTTTTATTTCACTAATTATTTGGCTTAACACATTTGGATCACAGTGGTCATGGGAATCCCAAATGTGTTTCTAAGGCAGACATCACTGTTGTGGGGTAGAGGGCTGAGAAGTGTCTGGGCTGACAAAATGGAGATAGGACAAGATGGCTTTGCCTTAGTCATTTCAGTACATGTATGGTGTGGGAGGTCCTTCTGTCTGTGTGTTCCTTTTATTGGTTAATGAAAAAGGAACTACTTTGAGCCTATGGCAATCTAGGCTGTGTGCTGGGAGAAAGAATGGCAGAGTCAGAGAGAAGCCATCGAGCTGCCCCAAGCAGATGCTGGGAACTGTACCTGGTAAGCCACAGCCATATATATATTATATATATATGGATTAAATTAAGATGTAAGAGTTAGGCAATAAGAAGCTAGAACTAATGGGCCAAGCAGTGATTTAATCAATATAGTTTCTGTGTGATTATTTTGGGTCTAAGCTAACCGGACAGCTGGGAACCAACATGCAGCACCCTCCTTCCAAAACATGTATGTGATAGAATTTTATTCAGTTGTAAAGAAAATAAAATTTGTAGAAAAATAAATGGAACTGGAAAATGCCTTGCCAAGTAAGGTAATACAGGTCTGGGAAGACAAATGTTCTCTCTCAAATGGTGTTTCTATCTTGAAATTTTTACATTTGTGTGTTTAGGTCAGAGCCAGGCAGAGTGAAAGACACCATTGCTGTAGAGGGGCAGTAAATGCATGTTATATGAAAATAAAGAGGGAATGCTAGCAGAGAAAGGGTTACTTGGGGGTAAGAGAGAAGGAAGGAGGTGAGGGGTGGAGGGAAGTTCATCTGAAACTAGATCTGTGTTGTAAGCCAATTAAACAAAAATACTTAAAAAATGAGGGGATAACACTGCTCTCAGAGTTATGGGTTCTTAAAAAAAATTGTGGCACAGACGTGGAATACCTCCTTGTGAGTTGTTGGTCCAGGAGTCTTCAGGTGCCCCATAAGTGTAAGGCAGGTGTCACAGATACACTTAGGTTTAGAATAAATCCAGAATAGGGTTGGGGGGTGAAGAGAATCAACTAGAAAATTAATTACAGAAGCTTCTCAATTTCAGAAGTACCATTTATTAATTGTTGCTCTCAGTGTCTGTGCTACTGGGGCTATATTTAGGAAGTGGTTTTCTATGCCAATGTGTTCAAGTGTATTTCCCACTTCTTCTTCTATGAGGTTCAGTGTGGTTGATGCATTTGGACTTGATTTTTGTGCATGGCAATAGATATAGATCTATTTTCATTCTTCTACATGTTGATATTCAGTTCTGACAGCACCATTTGTTGAATATGCTTTCCTTTTTCCATTTTATATTTTTAGCTTCTTTATAAAAAAATCAGGTGTTCATATCCAGGTCTTCAATTCAATTCCACTGGTCCTTCTGTCTGTTTCTATGCTAATACCAGGCTACTTTCATTACTGTAGGTTTATTGTAGAGTTTGAGGTTCAGGATTGTGATGCCGTCAGAAGTTCCTTTATTGTACAGGATTGTTTTGGCTATCCTGGGTTTTTTGCTTTTCCATATGAAGTTGAGTATTGTTCTTTTGAGGTCTGTGAAGAACTTTGCTGGGATTGTGATCTACATTGAATCTGTAGATATATTTTGGTAAGACTGCCATTTTTACTATGTTAATTCTACCTACCCAAGAGTATGGGAGATCTTTCCATTTTCTGGTGCCTTTATCAATTTCTTTCTTCAAAGACACTCAATCATACCACAAAGACATGTGCTCAATTATGTTCATAGCAGCATTTTTTTTTGTAATAGCCAGAACCTGTAAACAACCTAGATGCCTCTCTACTGAAGAATGGATAAAGAAAATGTACATTTACACAATGGAGTACTACTCAATGATAAAAAATAATGACATCTTGAAGTTTGCAGGCTAATAGATGGATCTAGAAAAAGCCATATTGAGTAGGGTAACCCAGATCCAGAAAGACAAATATAATATGCATTCACTCATAAGTGGCTTCTAGATATAATGCAAAGAAAAGCCAGCCTACAGTTCACAATCCCAGAGAAACCAGACAGCAAAGAGGACCCTGAGAGAGACAGACATGGATCTACATAGAAACGTGAAAAAGACAAGATCTCCTGAGTAAATTGAGAGGCAGCGGTCACAGGAGAGGGTAAAAGGGGAGAGGGGAGGGAGGGAGGGCAATGGAGAGAACGTATAGTTCAATAAAAACAATAAAGAGAAGAAAGTTTATTACATAGTTATCCAATCCTCAGACTTGGGGATGTAGTCAGTGACATACTTGGGGCACCAGCTCCACTATGTAATAGACGTAAAAACTGAATAGAAGCAGACAACAAATGACAGAAGTAGGAATGTGGTGACCTCTGGAGAGGACGGCCATGGTGGAGCTTGAGGGAAGCCCTCTGGGCTTTTCCCATTCTTCCCCCCTCTTCTCTTTACTTTCTGTTCTTTTTTTCCCCCTCCAAGGTGGAGCACAGAGGCAGTTTTGCTTTGTAGCCCTGGCTGGTCAGCAACCTCTACGTAGCACAGGCTGTCCTTCAGTCTGTCAACCTTGGGCCTCAGGCGGAGTGTCTGAGATTGCCTGTGTGTGCTCCTATTCCCTTTCTGAGGTACTCCAAGTGTTCTGAAATAAAAAAATAAGAGTTTCACAAATACACATGTGTCACATTGTAAATATACATGAAGCTGTCTGGTCAGATTTTCTATAATTTTGCATGTATGTGCATGTGTGGCTGTGCATGGGTGTGCAAACCCATGGAGGAACACTAGTGTTGTCCTCACTCACACACTGAGTCTGAGGAATGACTTTCTGATTATCTAGAATAGCTAGTCCACAAGCCCCAGAGATCCCCCGCCCCCCCCCCACTATCAGGTTCTTTATCTGGTGCTGAATCTGAACTCAGGTCCTCATGCTTACAGAGTTGGGTCACTGCTCAGCGTGAGCTTTCTCTGTACGTATCTTATACTCTGATAAAAATTAATGTCATCAAAAACTTGTACAATTTTTATTCTTTGAGAATTTTGAGAACTTCATACATACGATGTATTTTAATCATACTTAGCCTCACTCACCCTCCAAGACTACAACAGAATTCCCTCCCAACATCTTTCTCCCCCAATAATCTCCTCTTCCTCCCTCCCTTCCTTACTCTTTTTTGCCTGCCTGCCTCCCTCCCTTCTTTCTTTTTCTCTTTCTCTTTCTCCCCTTCTTCAATAACCCACTGAGTCCAGTCAGTGCTGCCATGAACACATGTGAGTAGAATAATCCCCTGGGTAGTCTACACACCAAGGATGCACTCCTGGAGAAAACCGACTTTCCCTCTCCTGGCAGTCATCACTGTGTCTGCAGCTCCTCAGCTGAAGGGGGAGGGCTCCTGTTACCTTCCCCCACTCATGCTAGAAGGTTAAAAAGACTGATAGAGTATGAAACAGACTTACTTTTCAACATTAACTTTCTGGTCCATGAAGTGTCCTACACTGCACACATTAACTGCAGGTTAACAGTTAACTAAGTTAGTTCCTCCTCCCCTCTTCTTACTCTTTAGGGATAGAGATCGATATTTAGCCCAGGCACCCAAACCCCAAATCCTCCTGCCTCAGGCTCTCGGTTATAGGGATTGCAATTGTGAACAGTGAATTATTTTTCAATTGGTTTCTTCAGAAACAAAATGAAGCTATAAATCAATTTATATTAACAACCTGGGTGCTTACCAAGCCCTATCCTAGGATGTCCTGATCCACCACGTGTTTGTCCCTTTCTGTGCTAAGCAAATATTTACCTCCTGTTTCTTCCCCAGCCGAACCTGTTAAGTGGCGCCCCCCCTCCCCCCCCACCAAACCGTTACTTTCAGTTTCTCTCTTCTGGGATACTAAATGCTGACTTCTCGAGCTTTGGGCCTGACCTAGGGCTCAGTGCTGACAGTCCAGTTCTCTGGAAGCTGGCCCTGAGCTGGGCCCACCCAACCTCACGACCCCACAGAGCCTGACCCCACATTCCTCCTCCACGGAGCCGCTCCCCACACCACCTCCCCCACCCACACCCTTCCCCCACCCCAGGACGTCCTGGTGTTCTACTTCCTCTCCTCTCTTTGGGTGCCGCCCAAGTCGCTGCCATTGAAGGAGCAGAGGTGGCCTAGATGCGGAGGCTATAGGACACTGTGGGGCAGAAGCCGGAGTCTCAGACCAGAGCTGCAACTCTCCTCCCATCCTGTGCGCAAACAGACTGGGCCTCTGCTTCCGATCCTGGTGAGTGTGGGCAGCCAGGGCTGGGAAATCCTTTGCAGCTTCATTTCCAAGTGTGAAATGCAAATTGCTGGTCCTATCACCTGTCTGTAGAGGGTGTGGTGTTCAGGGCGGGTTGATCTCCAGATGTGTGAAGGTGAATAAGGTTGATGATGTCGGGTGGGCGAAAATGTTATCAAGTAGTGAAGTTATCACAAGTGCAAAAGTAATTTGTTAACACTGGTATTGTAAGGGACCTGGACAATTTATCCTTTTTCTTTATCTCACGATGTAAAATTTGTCCAAAAATCTGTAGCTTGCTATGCAGCTATACATTAACTCCTTACATCTCTTCCTTGGATACTGAGGAAGAAGTTTGAACAGACAAAAATTAAAAGCCAAAACAACTAGGTTGTAAGCCTGCCAGTTGATTGTGTATATATAATGCAATCCTTTTTTTCCCTGTCTAATACTAGAAATGTAATCGCTTATCTAGTTTTAGGAAGACAGAAACTTTAATAGTAACACATATTAATAAGGATATGTGTTCAGGCCTGTGTGTTTGCACAGAAGAGCCCCCTTTTTAAAAAACTGATTTTATTGAGCTCTACATTTTTCTCTGCTCCCCTCCCTTTCTCTCCCCTCCTCTTCAGCACTCTCCCATAGTCCCCACGCTCCCAATTTACTCAGGAGGTCTTGTCATTTTCTACTTCCCATGTAGATTAGATCCATGTCTGTCTCTCAGAGGAGCCCTTCTTATGGTGTTGACTTGCCTCTCTCCAGCAGTGCATTTTCTTAGACCAACATGTATTAAAATGCACACACGCGCAGAACCTATTTCTGCACTTAACTGTGGCTAAGCATCTGAAGCACTGAAAGGAGGATAAATATGATAAGTGGACAATAAAATACAAACTAGAATGGAGAATTGTGAGAAGGAACACTCAAAGCTGAATTGAGTTATATTTTAAGTGATTTATTCAATTTTATTTGATGTGCACAAGTGTTTTGCTTGCATGTTTGTAAGTGCACTGCTTGAACACTTGGTGCCCCTGGAGGTCAGGGAGGCCCCCGATTCCCTGGAACTGGGGTTGCAGACAGTCGGAAGTTCCTATGTAAGGCTGGGAGTGTAACCAGGTCCCCTGCAGGAGCAGTGTGTGCTCTTAACCGCTGAGCCATCTCTCTAGCCCTTAAGTTGCATTCCTGAGACCATAGCAAGAAGGGGTCAATCAGTCTTCCAGCTCAGAGGAAACATCAGGGGAAACAGACACTTCTCCTGGCTTTTGCTTTTGAGGGAACATCTCTTGTGTGGGTTAATTTGGGTTGTTGAGGAGACTCAAAGGAAGGCTATGCCTAGAACCATCCCATAATGCCAGAGCAGCGCCTCTGCTAAGGTAAACTTTAGCTGTCATTTCCCATACCCTGTTACAGACACCTTGATGAACAGGTCTTACTTAAAAATAAACCAAGGTTTTCTATGGGTTGTGTGAATTTCATGTTCTCTAAGCGTTTGGAAAATGCCGACCTTTGAGCCACATTGCTTATCTTTTGGAAACACCATGTGATGTCTCAGTGAAGTTGACGAGTGTGTATGATCAGCATAGGGCAGTTTTCCTGACATCCGAGATGTTCTGTTGACTGTTTTTGATTTAAGATGGACTGTATTTGAAAATGTATGAAGTAGGAAGTCTCAGAAAGAACTTCTTGGCGAAAATAATTAGGATTAAGATGGTTTATGAAAATGAAAGAACTGGAAAGCCTATTTTGCATAGGTGCGCATGTGCATGTGTGTGTTTGATGATAGTGATGCCCAGGAAAATATTTACATAGGAAAGGTCAATGTGCCTCTGATTTCACTGGCCCATGACAGGTGCATCTCAGGTAAGAGTGTGTTCTTGATTCTGTAAAACTGGAAAAGCAAACTTAAAGTATACCTTAGTGTTATGTCTATGATTCATTACTAATTTTTCTAACTTTAGACAATATTTGTACTTCAGATCTATAATACTGTTTATAGTTTTAGTTATTTCCTTGCTTGGAATTGAAACATTTTCAGTGTTTGGGGGACTATAATATACACCTTATAGTCTGCTTAAAAATGATAGTAACTTTGTTACATGAGAATATAAAATGTCTAATATTATTTCATTCTCCCTTCCCTCCTTTGTGTTGTTACTGCCATATATATGTACATAGTATGCCGGTATTTTGACATTTTTCTTGATGTATATTATTTGCACAAAATAATGGGTTATGACTTTTTCATACATGCATATAACATGTTGTGATCCTAGTCACCTCTCTTCCCTGTTACTGTCTTTCCTCCTTCCCCCACCCCCTTTGCCCACATATATTAAAAAACAACAATGAAGTGTACTTATTGCTTTATGTAATATCTTGCTCCTGTAATGAAGTTAAGAGAATGAGAAACTGTAATTGTAGAGATCTTGATATTTACCTATATACTATTTGGGGTATTTATTTCTTCTTATAGATCAGCTTCATTTCTCACTCTAATTTATGTCTTTACCGTAGGGTAATTTCCTTGCTCCATGCCGTTCTGCCTCCGTCCTTTATGATATATGTTGCTTGAGTGTTATGAACCCAACAATATAATTTTATAATTATTTCTTCAAATGGTTATCTTTTTAAACTAGTTAAGAGAAAAAAGAAAAGATAGTTGCCTGGTCTTTTGTGATTACGTATGTAATTGCCCTTTTGGTCCCTATCTGATGTGAGGACTTGAGTTACCATCGTGTACCTTTTTCTTCCAGCCTGAAGAAGGTTTATTTGATGTGCTAGAAGTCAGGCCTGCTGCTAGCAAATGGGTTCACTTGTTATCTTGGAATATTCTTACTTTTCTTTTGAATTTTTGAAGGCTGAGCCCCACTGTTGGTTGCTGTAGTGTTTTCAGCTCCATAATTTCTATTAATAATAATTTCTATTACTACTACTACTACTACTTCTACTACTAATTTTTATTACTTCTTTTTATTTTCTTCTTTGCCGTCCTCCACCTCTACTCCCAATGCTGGGTCTCCAGAGACTCATGTAAGCCAGCACTCTACCACTTGCTGATATTCTAACACCATTTGAGATAGAGATGGATAGATGGATGATAGGGTCTCCTTACTGTCTCTATTTCATAGACCATCGTCATATAATTTAATTTTTCTCATACATTTTTATTGAAAAAATTCCACACGGTATATTCTAATAATAGTTTCCTCTCCATTGATTCCTCCGAAATCCTCCCGCCACTACTCCCATCCAACTCCACGTCCTTACTTCTCTCTCTTCAGAAAGAAAACAGGCAGTAAGAAAGAAAAAGAGAAAAGGAAGGACGGAAGAAAGAAACAAAACCCCCCAAACCCCACAAAATCAGAAAACATAATAGATAAGCAAAAAACCGGTAAGACAAAATCAAAACTGCCCAAACAAATAAATTAAAAACAAAAAGTCTACAAAATTTTCATGGAATTTGTCAACTTCTAATATCCAGGAGGATAACTGTAAGTTTTTCTTTAGGTTCACCTTCTTATTTAGCTTCCCTAGGATCACGAATTATAGTCTAAATGTCCTTTATTTATGGCTAGAATCCACTTATGAGTGAGTACATACCATATTCCTCTTTTTGGGTCTGGGTTACCTCACTCAGTAAAGTGTTTTCTGTTTCTATCCATTGTGTTGGCCATCTACTGCTGGGCACAGGGCCTACTCTTACATGCTGTAAATATACCCAGTGAGACTCCATTGGAGAAATCCAGTTTTTCCTTTACAAGAGGGTATCCATTGCAGATAGCATCTAGATTAGGAGTGGGGGTGCGTGTCCACTTCCCCCTTTCAGCACCGGGATCACATCTGGCTTGAACCTAGAAAACAATACAAAGAATCAAAGAGACAAAGAGCTGGTTCTTCAAGAAAGTCAACAAAATAGACAAACCTTTATTCAAACTAAACAAGAGGCAGAGAAAGAATATCCAAATTAGCAAAATCAGAAATGAAAAGGGGGGACATAACAACAGATACAGAGGAAATCCAGAGAATATTTAGGTCATACTTCAAAAACCTGCACTCCTCAAAATTGAAAAACTTAAAGGAAATGGACTATTGTCTGGATAAGTACCACATATCAAAATTAAATCAAGACCAGATAAGCAAATTAAATAGACCTATAACTGCTAAGGAAATAGAAACAGCATCAAAAGTCTCCCAGCCAAAACAAGCCAAGGACCAGATGGTTTCAGTGTAGAATTCTACAAGAACTTCAAGGAAGAACTAATACCAATACTTGTCAAATTCTTCAACACAATGGAAACAGAAGAAACATTGCCAAACTCTTTCTGAGGCTACAGTTACCCTGATACACACACACACACACACACACACACACACACACACACACGCACACACACACACACATACACACTCGAGCTACATTGGTACATAGAAAATTAAAATTTCTTCTCCATGAAGATTATTGCCCAGCTAACTTTAGGATGTGAAGCAAAAGGTTAATAAAAAGTCTAGACTTTGGCCTCACACCTATTCTCTTCAGGAATGACTTTCTTATGGTATAATTAACATCACACACCTCACCAACTTACAATGCACAGTTGTGTGGCTATAGGAATATTCAGAGATATGCAAACATATTATCTACTCTGTTTACTTAATCCAAAGATGCTTTTGCACAGTTTCTCTCGGTATTTCCAGTGTGTGTGTTACACTGTGTGTGGAGATCACAGGATAATTCTTGAGAGTCAGTTCTTTTCTTCCAACTTGTTGAGGTGATCTCTCCTGTACTTTTTTCCATGCTGGGTCCTCCAGGTTAGCTGGCCCTTCAGCTTCCAGGAGATCTCTGTGCTAAAATTACAAAGGCAAACCACTGTAGTCCCCTTTTCATGGCGTTATTGGATTGAACTCAGATCTTTCAATCTTGTTCAGCCAGCATGTTTTCCTGCAGAGACATCTTGCTGAACCCTGGATGGTTTTTAGAGCTGTTTTCTTGGTATGTGTTTCAG